CCATTATTCTTCTGTGAAATGGTAGAAGTTTCTAGAGGTAAAGGACTTCAGTGAAATGGTGGAAGTTTCTAGAGGTAAAGGACTTGTTCTTCCTCTTCATTCGGTAGAAGTTTCTAGAGGTAAAGGATTCCTCTTCATTCCTTATAGATATTGCTTCAATGATTTCTCTGTAAAACCCACCCTCGCGACAGAAGATTCTAGAGAGTTAATGCATTATTCTTCTTCTCCCTTCCTTATAAATATTGTTGCCATGATTTTGAAAATAACTGGGAGAACTTAAATAGTTCTCTTTGTACATCATGCCTTGATGTCACTACTTTGATAATTAGAGTTTAAGTATAAGATATATAAATACATCTATGTATGTTAATCTTCATTTTTCTAGGTTGAACTTTTATAATACAATAAGATTTCTTATTTTTGTGTGGAAATTTATCTACTGAGCTAAACATCAACTCAAGTATTTAGCAGCCTGAACTTCAGTTCTGTATAAACATCAAGATGGAAAGACAACTTTAACTTCTTGGGAGTATTGAGTTGTAGAAGAGATTAGTTATTATTCTTATCTTTTTTACAACAATAATTAAAAGAAAATTGAAACTTAAAATATTATTTTTTAGCACAATTTCTTGTAAAAATGGACACATTGGACTGATATTTGATTGATTTCTAGCTTATATTCTTATTAGTTCACCCTATTTTTAATATTTCATTAAATATCTAGATTAGAACATATTTTGGTGGGTTAGTTAAAGATTTGTTTATGATATTGGGAGCAAAGCCTCATTTATTAAATACTCAAATTTACATCTAAAGCTCTGCTTTAAAACTCAAAGGAGAACAACCCTGATGAAGTCCTAGCAAATGTGAGAGGGTTTGGGTGGGGACATTTGATACTTCTGAGGAGGCTGGTGACACTTATGAAACAACTTCCATAAAATTTCGGGCAAGAAAGCAAATAATAAACTTTCTTAAGGAAATCCCATATGCCGCTTAGAATCATGCAAATTTAAATGCACCAAAAATGCATAAACGTAACCTTTCTAAACTTACCAAGAAATTTAAATCATGAAGTTTTTCGTTTTTGGAATAATACATATTACAAAGTATCCTCTAGTCCAGGGCTTGGGAAGGAAGAATCCCTGCAGCTTGAACCAGCTAGTTCATGAAAGCTTCATTGCCTCCTCAGGAATTGACGAGTTAATCTCTGAGCAGAAAAATAATTTGCTGAATTCCTCAAATTTTGGCTGGGAACAAGAAGCTATTATGCTTGAAATAACATCAGCTCCTGATTCTATTGTTGATGAGCTTGAATTTGGATCTCTTGAAGAAAGTGCACGAAAGAAGAAACTTACTACATGCACATTATCCAAATGAACAAGAATTCCAAATTCCTATGTATTTACATTTAAAAAAATTCCGACTCAATATTACTTTCCATTGAAACGTTCCTTACGTAAAACCATGAGAAAAACTTACTACATGCACATTATCCAAATGAACAAGAGGAATTTACATGCATACGGCCAAATTCTTATGTATTTACATATCTAACACCTAAAAAGTGAAATACACCTTTTCATACAAAGGTAAGATACAACAGTAAAAATTGAAGGTAATAAATATGTAATTACATAGAAATTTAGTGTTAATTAAATCTTTCAATCATTAAAATGTGGCACAACATATAACATTCAAGACCTATCATATCATGTGCATTAGTTACATATTCAAAACACAAAACATAATCATCCTTCATTTCAATAACACAAGCAAATCAAACTTCTACAATTCACATAAATAAAATAAAAAAATTAAGCATTGCTGACTCAAAAAAAAAAAATTCATTGGATTTCAAAATCACACTACCTTCATAAACCAAATTTCTTTTGTACATCAAACTTTCAAGCAAGACTACATTTTACAAGCACAATAAATTAAACTTCAATCTACAGGCAACCATTGCTTCGAATATACTAAATTTGACTTCAGTTGAACATACTTTATCGCAAAACTACGGCCACAACTACAAGTACATATATAATTACCAAAATTAACATAATTTTAATTTGGTAAAGCTTATATTTAATAGAATCAATGCTCCTTAATAGCATTTCCACAGAATTTGTTTCTCGATATATTCGACAAAATATGTTTCACTAGCTATCAGTTAGTTAAACGAACCAAACACGAACAGTTATGCGTTCGTTCGTGTTCGAATCGTTATTGTTCGAAATATAAAATAATTTAAAATAATTATATATAAAAAAATTATGATACTTTAAAAAATAAAATTTTATAAATTATAATATATAATAAATTAATAATAATAATATATTAATGTATTATATTAGTAATATACTAATATAAATATTATATATTTATATAATAAAATTTATATAATTAATATAATATATTATTTTTATATTTTAATACTAGGGATGTCAAAATATCTCTTCATAATTCACAAACAGCTCGTGTTCAGCTCATTCATTAAGAAACGAACACAAACAATGACTTCACGAACAATTTCAAACACGAGCTTATTCCAAACAAACTAAATTTCAAACGAATCGAACACGAACACCTCTTTTCATTCATGTTCGATTTGTTTACACCCCTAGTCGTAAGCTACCGTATAGTTACATATATAATTACCAAAATTAACATAACTTTAATTTGGTAAAGCTTATATTTAATAGAATCAATGCTCCTTAATAGCATTTCCACAGAATTTGTTTCTCGATATATTCCACAAAATATGTTTCACTAGCTTGGTTGTTGTTATCTGATGCTTGCTCAACTTCGTCAACCCATTCAATGAAATAGCAATCATCTTCAGATTTCTTTCAGTGGCATCTATATAACTTTCTGGCAGTGTTGTAATCTTTCAAACACGTGAATATTTACATTTAAAGCTGCAGAGATAATAAACACGATGGTCTTGGATGCTCTAATGATTCAAATTTGTTTTGCAAAAGATGATTTCACTATAACCAAAAAGTGGATCAATATAATGAGACTTTGTTGAACATGCATTAAAACGAGATATCAAAGCTCAGTTTACAACACTTATTTTGCTCTGTCTCATGGCTAGAAATCCCAAATCGCTTCAGCCTTTTTTAGCTATTAGAAAATATAAATATGTATATAATGTATGACATGTGTATAAGACCAAACTTTGAGCAATAATAAGTTATGTAAATATGTTTATAATGTATTCCATGCATAAAAAACAAGAGAATTTCACTAATGAAAAGAGATCTTGATGCCTATCATAATGGGTGTTTACTCAGTATTGGGAAGATGTTTTGATAACAAACAAAATCTTTACGGAATAAGAATAGCAATAAAGCCGAGTGCCAAGAATCTTATAGATATAATAATGGGAAGTTCAATATACACATATTTATATACACTCTAAGATGTTATGCGTAAAGAGCTCTACTTTTTTATCACAAGAAAATCAAAATAACAATATTTAGTCACATTCATTAAAAGACAAAGATGACAAGTGATAAAATTGGTGTGGTTAGATATAAAAATGTAATTCAGTATTCAACCCAACTAAGCTCATGCTTAGTACCAAGAATCAACTAAAGGCATAATTATAATAAAGAATTAATTGGTTGCTTTAAGGAAGTGATGAATTTATCCACTCTTTATGTATGAAAATGAACACATCATTTTTTAGAGATTTTGAAGGAGTTCTAAAGTTTAAAATCAATGTTGAGTTCTACCAACATTCAATAAGAGGATAAAATCAAGTAGAGTCACCTTTTTTCTAAGCATGTTTTATAACTTCAAGCAGCCAAATGAGCCTATTCACCAATCAATCTACCAACTAAAATCTGATACGTGGTTCTACATGGAGAATGTTGACCTTCTAGCATCCACAAAATCCTATGAATCATGTGCAAATTCAAAATGAAGATCATAAGCACAAAATAGAGAGTTGGATTTTTTTGTCTAGAGTTAATGCACTAAAATGATAGAGGAAGTACAAAAGAAGGGGGGGATGTTGAAGAAGAGGAAGAACTGACCTACTTTGAAGAAGAGGATGAAGTGACTTGCTGTGAGTTGAAAAGCTAAACTTTTGGCGCAAGGGTTTCACAGAGGAATGACAAGATGATTCATACGAGCTTATGTGACAATAGGGGCACGAGATCAATGACGAGGAAAATATTGATGGCGGGTAGCGAGCTCTAATGATGATGGGCTGATTCACACAGAGGAACAAGATGATGATGAGGTTGGTTTTTGTTTTTGATGTATCGGTTGGTTTTGCGATTGCGAGGAGGCGTTTAGTAGTACACAATTTACGAGATTTTGCCATGAATTTAACTTAAATCCTTCAAACATAAAAAAAATAAGAAATTAAATTCAATGCTCCGTTAAATCAAAATCTCTCGTGTTTTGTGAATATCTTTTGCGTTTCGTTTACTATGTTGTAAATCTGGATATATTAAATCCAACTATGAGGTGAATTTAAGAGACGTCACTCATGGTCGCTCGCGAGATCTGTATAGTTAGATAAATTCGATTTCAACGAATTTAATAAATCATGTTTAATGTAAATTCAAATCGCAGTCAAACACAACCTAAGAGTTTTGGCTTAACGAGGGAGGAATAGAAAGCTCAAGAAGTGGTAATTTGATTGCTTTTGTATGGTTTTAGTTGGTAGAACAATAAATAGCAAAGTTTTGGGGTTAGATATGCTAATAAAATAGTTTTCTATGGTAAGTAGGTAAATCCTCCTTCAATAAAATAAGGCCCAAATTTATATTTAAATGCCAAAATTTAAATAAAAATATGTAAATATAACTTCTACTAGTCAATGTACGACCACAATGGCAACTCGGAGTTTCCCTTTGATTTCAGTCAACCACGTCTAGGCAACCAATTAGAAGAGGACCTTGTCTTGTCATCCAATAAAAATACGCCACGTTCGCGTTGATACGTCGAATGCTGCGGTACATATTACCTCATGCTCCACTCAGCCCCCACGAATCGAAGTGTGGCCGCGATTCGAACTTCCTCCCTTCGAATTCCAGCCGTTCTCTCCTTCAAACCCTTCCCTGCGTTATCGCCGGCTTCCGGCCGGCAGATCTGGAAGTGTTACGGCGGCACGATCCGCCTCCACACTCCCATTATGGAGGTCCCCGTAGGTGTCCCTCGCGTTCTGGTATTGGCCTTCTGTGTGGCTGGCATCTGGGCCTCCTATATATACCAAGGCATTCTTCAGGAGACCGTGTAAGCTTTGCCGATCTCTTGCTCGTTCTTTAGATATTGATATTAGGGTTCCTGATGTGTGTTAGCTTCGTGACCAGATCTACTAAACGCTTTGGACCGGATGGGAAGCGCTTCGAGCATCTTGCGTTCCTGAATCTGGCTCAAAATGTGATTTGTTATATCTGGTCTTTGATGAGTGAGTTTCCAGTAATGATTGTTTTGCTTGAAAATTTTGTCGCAACTTTAGGTGTCGAGTTCATTGGGTTGTATTTTGGCAGTGATTAATCTTTTTTCGAGAAGATCTTCCGGCGGTGCTCCATTGTGGAGTTATTGGAGCGCCAGTATCACAAACACAATTGGTCCGGCGATGGGGATTGAAGCTCTCAAGTACATAAGTTACCCTGCTCAGGTATGTGTTGAAATTGTAGTTTTCCTTTGTGAAGTTTTTATTATTATGTTTTATATTTTCAAAAAAGAATAACCGTTTATCATTGTTCAACTAAAAGCCATATAAAATTGAGTTATTCATGAATCTTGGATATTTATATATATTTAAATTATGGCTTCGACTGATATACTGAATAATTCGAAGCTGTTTAGGTGAATAAATTAAGCCTAGGGGCATTCCTTCCTACTTTGCTTTTAAACGCCACCCTTAACTTTCAAATCTGGTATCTTCGAATGATTTACATACACACCACTCAATTGCTATGTATTTACATATCTAAAACCTAAATTTTGTTTTTTTTATATTTATAGCACTTAAATATTTCATATCACATCAAAAATACCACTATACTAACTTTAAAAAAAATGAAATACACCTTTTCATGAATAGATAAAGTGATACAAAAATAAATACCAAAATTTAGGTGTTAAGTATGTAAATACATAGGAATTGTGTGCAATGTTTGTATTTTTTTCTAATTTATAAAGTTAAGTCTGAAACTTCCCTCCTAGGTCTCCATATGTTGGGTTCAATCAAAGGGATTTTCCAGGCATGTCTCAAAGTTTTGCCTCTTTTGTATTATCATGCAAAATGGATTTAGAGATTAGAATTGTTTAACACAAGTAATTGTAAATTCATACCGTTTTATAATTTGGCTGCCATGCATTGATTGATCCAGCACAACTTAAAGTTAGTTTGGTGCTTCCAATATTCCACTTTAAATTAAATTGTTTAAATTTTCTTGGATTTATTGTATGAAAAATTGGCAATATAGTTCTAAATATAAATTGTTGTGGTAAGACTATTTGTTTAAATTGCATATGTGCCTTTACTGTATCATATGACAATAGGAAGTCATAGAGTACTTAATGGCAAATTTTATGAAATTGTAATTATGTCAGTTTGTATGGATATGAGTGTTGGCTGGTACAAAGGTTATTGGTATCTAACATGATACTAATGAGAATGTTTACTTTGATGCATGGAAAATCTAAGAATAAAATGAATTATTCTAATAGAGGAATATGTTGAATGACATCTATTATTGGTTAGGTAATTGAAAATATATTAGTTTAATTTGAACATGAATAAATGGTAAAAATGCATGACTTGGACATGCATATAAAATTACTGTTCAAGAATTAGGAATGAAGCGGAGGTAGATCCAAGATAAGAAATATATAATTTGTTTAAAATAATTTGCGAAGAATGGATTTAGTTCCTCAAGGAACACTCCACAAGATTTAATAGAAAATTAGGGTTTATAGCTCTGGCACCAAATATCTGGATAAGGCTTATGATGGTGATGATGACCTCTTCTCTGAATTGTTATAAGGAAGTTTTTCATCTTGAATGAATATATTCCACTTGTGAATGTACTATATTATTTGTTATTATCCAATTTAGTGGGGGCCAAAGAACTGAAACAACTTGAATGAAATTTCCTAGAATATTTGATGAGAATAGCTATGTTTAGTTGACAAGGCCAATTTACCTAAAGTGTGCTCACCATGAATAATCCCTTATTATACTTTTGAAAGTTTTATTGGGATCTTTGTTCATTTGCTGAGTCTATGGTTGGTTTGCAAGATAACTAACTATCTTGGTAGATATATTTTCCTATACTCTGAGCCTTGGTTTTGTGCCAGCTATCTATTTGGACTTTTGAGAGTGCAATATGAATCAACTGTTTGTGTTTGATGTACTAGAAGAAGCAATGCAGTTCAGAGAGTAGTTTTTTTTTAATTTTTTTTTATATAAATAAATTGAAGGATTCAAGCACAACTTGGCTTTGTAATCAATTAATGTTGGATTTGTTTCTTTCCAAAATGAATGAAATAGTTTCACAAAGGCAGTCTATGATACATAAAATTATGCTCTAGTTTTCTTTGTTAACAACGTTTCTTCAAGAAATATATAAACTTACCATTGAAAATATGCTCCAATCAGAGCAGAGAATTGAAGGCACACATATCGATGCTTTGTACTGTTGGATCTATTTACTTATGACTGAAATTGTAAAGAAATTATGACACAGATCGAGACTCTGTACTGTTGGATTTATTTGTCTACCAATCTTGGATTGTGATATGTATACTTCCTTATATGATAGGTGTCACCTAATTATGTTTCCCTCCTTTTTTAACTTATTTCTATTTTGTAATGCGTGTACAAAGAAGAAAATGAGATTCTTAAGAAGTTTTTTTATTATTTATTTTTTACATGGTATTGGAGCGAGGTTAGGATATTCATTCCAACTTTTATTCTTATTTTCTAAGATTAGGATTTTCATTTTCTACCTTTATTCTTATTTCTTAAGGTTAGAGTATCCAGTTCTAACATTATTCTACTTATCTAACTCTTCTTCTTTGCACAATGTTTGGGTTCTTTGACTTCCCTTCAAAGGAATCAACCATGATTAATGATGAAAATCAGACTAAATGAGAACATCGGGTATTTCAAGCATCATATTGCTTGAACAAGAAAAAATACCTTAAATGGTCTAAAATTATGAAGACTTTTCTAAGGGAAAGGGAATGATTTAACATATTGTGAATCTAACTCTGGAGCCTAAAGGCCCAAAATTTATTTTGGGAAGAACTGATTTCATAATTATAACATGGTTGTGGAACACCATACTACTAGAGATTAGTGGATCATTTGTGTTTCTCTCCATCTCTAAAGAGGTTTGGGATGCGGTTAAACACGCCTACTCAAAGGTGAAAGATGTTGTACTCATCTATGAAATTAAGATAATACTCGCCACTTCGAAATAAGATTACCTTCCTGTCATTCGAATACTTCAACTCCATGAAGTTTTATTAGTTAGTGTTGGACTCCTACCGAGATTTTAAGATGTTTTGTTGTGAGGATACAACAATCCTTACCAAATTTACCGAGCAAGAGATGATCATTGAGTTTTTTGCAGGACTCGATAATGAATTTGACCAAATTGGAATTCAAGTCTTACGTAGAGAAAATCTCTCTTCTCTAATTGAAGTATTCTCTCTCGTTTGAGTTGAAGAATGAAAAAGGATAGTTATGATCAATAGTTTAGCTCCCTTGTGGTATTTGTCATGAAAACTTTTGAATCCCAAGATAAGAAACTTTATGTCATAGAACCATCTTCTTAAAAAAGGTCAACATTCTTCTTTCAGAATAATTATTTGGTGCAACTACTACAAAAGGAAAGGGTACATCAAAGACAAATGTTGGAAACTTCATGGAAGACTCTAAGACCATGGAAGACTCTAAGACCATGGAAGAAGTAAAGGGCGAAAATAAGAAAAGAAAAGACATGTCTTGTGGTTTCAAAAGTACTCAATTAAGAATAAATCAATAAGTTAAATAATTTTCTCAATTCCTTAGAAAGATTAGTAGGATCTTGCTTTCTTTCTTAGAATATATGATTTCTAATTTTTATATTTTTAGTGCATCTAATAATTCTTCCTCTTAATAGATCTTAGATTCAAATGTCACCGACCACATGATAAACTTTGCCAATATATTTCAATCTTATAAATCTTACCCTAGCAATTTAAAAATATAAGTTGCTAATGGATCCTTAAAAACTGTTACAAGAGAGGAAAATATCTAAATTTCTCCCAACATAACTCTCTGTAATATATTGCATGTCTCATAACTTATAGTTAACCTCTTATCTATTCACAAATTTACCAAAAAGTATTACAGCTAAAACATATTTTTTGTTGACTATTATGTTTTTTAGGATCTCATTATAGAGAAGATGATTGGGCAAACAAAAGAAAAGGATGGGTTATATCTTTTTGAAGATCGAGGTTAATTAGCATGCTCTTTCATCTCTCATACTACCGACAACCTTTGGACTTATCATTGTAAATTAGGACATCCTTATGTTAAAAATCTTCAGTATTTGTTTCCTTTGCTTTTTTAAAATTAGGACATCCTCTTAATAGATCTTTCATGTTTCATACTACCGACAACCTTTTGTATTAATTCATTCTAATATCTAGGGATCCTTTAAAATTCTCAATATCTCTTGGGCAATTGATTTTGTTATTTTTATTGATGATTGCACTTTATTGATATGAGTATATTTATTTAAATAAAAGCCTAATTCAGCATTATACTCCCTTTATTCACTCGCCATGATAAAAATCGGTTTAATTTTAAAATCATTTTTTTGGATGATAATGCTCATGATTATTTTAATCGCACATTAACATCATTCTTTCAAAGAGAGGGCATTATGTACAAATCTTCCCATCCTGACATTCCCCAATTAAATAGAGTGGGAAAGGAAAATTTGTCATTTTGTAGAGGTAAATAGGGCACTTCTCCTCCACAATTAAATACCAAAATAATATTGGGGAGAAGTGATTCTAAAAACTACCTATTTAACCAGCAGCATACCCTCAAGAATGATTGATTCCAAAACTCCACCAAACTATTGATTGAATTCTTTTTTACAAACTTAAAGATCCTTCCAAGAATTTCAGGAGTGTTACTTATTTTTTATATCCATAAATAGCATCTGGAAAATTTCACCAAAAACTCTCAGGTACACATTCATAGGCTATTTTGCACACAAAAGGTGTACAAGTGCCATCATCCACCCACAAAAATGCTCTTCCTCTAAATGGATGTCACTTTTTGGGAGAGAATTCTCATTTTGATGAAACATTTGATGATTTCTTTCATCCTAACTTTCCTATAATAAAAAAGATTTCATATAGAAACTTTGTACCAAGTAAACCTCTTCAGGTCTTTACAAGAAGGAACAAATCTAACAAAGTTCTCAAGCAAATTCTGAAGTCAACTACTCAGCCCACTATCACTCATTTATATCTCATCTCTCAATATATACCTTATTTTATAAATTTTCTCCATCTTATAGAGCCTTTTTAACTAAAATCAACATCAATCTTATTTCCATTCCACAAATTTTATTTGAGGGACTTGAAAATAAAAAATTGAAGAAAGCAAAGCGAGAAGAGATAAATGCCTTAGAAAAAAATTATCTATGAGAGATCATTGAATTATTGGAAGAAAAAAAGATAATAGGATTCAAATAGATTTTCACAATAAAATACAATATTGATCTGAGCCTTGAAAGATATAAAACAAGATTGGTAACAAAATGATAGATAATCATGTGAGATTGATTATCAAAAAAATTTTGCACCTATTGCGAAAATGAATACTATATAATATAACTAACAATAAATTATGGGCTGCCTATACAATAATATGATGTAAAAAATGCTTTCTTATATGGTGATGTCGAAGAAGAGTTTTATATGGATGAACATCAAAATTTGATATTCCTTTTAAAAGGAATTAGGTGTGCGAATTGAAAAAGCCCTGTATGGACAAACAATCATCGAGAGCTTGGTTTGACATGTTTGTAGAAGTCATGAAAGTATTTGGATATAAACAGAGTTAATAAGACCATACTCTTTTCCTAAAATACATTTTTTATAGTAAAATCTCAATTCATATTGTTTATGCTGACGATATGATTGTTATAGGAGTTGACAATCAAAAGTAAGAAGTAAAAGCCATGGAAGGAGTTGAATCAAACAGAATTAACGAAGCCATACTCTCTTCATAAATTATTCTATTGATGATAAAATCTTAATTCTTTTTGTGTATGTTGACGTTATGATTGTTATAGGAGATCTCAATCAAAACAAGAAACTCTCGTGAAAGGTTTGTTGATGAATTTGAAATTAAAGGCTTAGGAAAATTGAAATACTTCTTTTGAATAGAAGTGTTTCAATCTAAATAAGGGATATTCATTTTCCGATAGAAATATGTTATGAATATATTAAAAGAAACTGAGATGACAGAGTGCAAGTCATGTGAAATTCTAATTGAACTAGGAGAAAAATTTGACCTTCTATGAAGGAGATGTTGTAGATAAGGGACAATATCAAAGGTTAGTGGGAAAATTTAATTTTCTTACCTCACATTCGTCCTGACTTCACATTTGCAGCAAGTCTAGTTTATCAATTCATGCAAAAATCTAAAAAATTGTACCTTCAAATCACTTATAGGATTTTCAGATATCTCAAGTGAAGCCCTAAAAAGGAATTTTAAATAAAAGACATGATACTTTATTAGTTGAAGATACAGAGATGTAGATTAAGCTGGGTCGCTTGTAGATAGAATGTTTGCTTCAGGTTATTATACATTTTTAGGAGGAATTCTCTTAACTTGGGAAAGTAAGAAATATGATATAATTTCAAGATCAAATGTTGAAACCGAGTTCAGAGTCATTATGCAATAGATTTGTGAGCTTCTATGGTTTAAATTTAAATTATGGAATTGAAAAATCAAGTGAAAATAGCCTAGGAAAAAATATTGTGAAAATAAATCAGCCATCAATATTTCACATCATATACAACATGATCGTACTAAGCATGTTGAGGCTGAATGACATTTTATAAAAGAGAATTTGAAAAGTTGTCTGATTTTTATTCCATATGTGTCTACAAGAAATCTATCAACTAATATAGTTACCAAAGAACTCAACAACCTAATGTTTAAAAATATCATAAGAAAATTTGGAATGGTAGACCTCTACCATCCCGTTTAAGGGGTAGGGTTGAAATTTTGCTCCAATCATAATAGAAAATTGAATGAACATTGATGGAGGCTTTATGCTCTTGGCAATCATCTAAGGGCACATGGATCGAGGCTATGTACTATCAGATTTCTTTCTCTACGACCCTCAAATTATAATTTGTGTACTTCCTACCGGATTTCCGGCACCTAATTGTGTTTCCCTTCTTTTTTAATTTATTCCTATTATGTAGTACCTCTGAGTTGTATATTTACCTCCCCTCTTGTACAAAGAAGAAAATGAGATTCCAGATAAGTTTTGATTGTTTTATTTTATACAGCTATCATAATTTGCTTTTTCTTCTTTGAGAGCTAGATTTAATTTTACTCAAAAGCTGCACAAATTGAATGTCGGTTATATGCATACTTAAAGTTGATTTTTTAGCCGAGTATGTAGGTTTAGAAGATGTAGAATCTCATGGAAGGATGCCAGTTTTATAAATGATAGTTTGATACTAACAGAATTTTTTATTTTGATTTACTTGGCTGAAACAAAACAAACCTTGTTGGTGTTCCTACGCACTCTTGTGCCTTTTACTTGAAACAACTGCAGAAATAGTTTTATGGAATTTCAATGTTATATTTAATTTCTCAGAAAACCTTTTGTTAAAATACATGAAATTGTAATATTTTTACTTTGCTTTATGTGCAGGTCCTGGTGAAGTCATCAAAGATGATTCCAGGTGAGATTACTGATGCCATTATCAATTTCATCCTCAATCTGTAGAATTTTCATTTGGACTTGAAAAATTTTTCAGTCTTTTTTCCCAAATTTAATTTTAACGGTAGTAAGATATTAAAATTCTATGCCAACAACTTCATCTTCAATATTATTTCTGAAACACATTTTAATTGATACCATTCATATTCATTTTATTTACTCTGAAAAAAAAGAACAAGTTACTCTTTTGGAAAGCCATGATTTTCAAGAATGGTTCATTGGCAGTCTTTTCTTTAGTTTTTTGTTGATTTAAAAGGTTTCATACGGAAAACTAAATTATTTTATGGTTAGTAATTCGGAATTTCAATCCATTTTGAAATATCGTCTACCTGCCATTCCAAATATCTTTAATGATAGAAAATGTTCGTGCTTGATGCTTCATGAAAAAAAATGTGATGTCATGCACTCAATCCTCCATTTGCCTAGTCCGTGTACACCACTCGATGGATTCTCATGTTTACCCTGCTCCTAGATCATATGGCATACCTCTCACATGATGGCTTCCTATCTTTCCCCTGCTCCTAGATCATATGGCATACCTCTCTCAGTTGCATATCCAACACGCCACACAAATGCAACCACAACCCTATACCTACATCTTGACTCCTGTTTCCACATAATGGCTACATACCACTTGTTGTCGCCATCTTCCTACTCCATGCAAACAAATGCTAGATCTAATCTTTGGACCACTCGTTCATCCTTTACATAGTGCAACCCACTGAGCTTTTCCGGCCACTCAGTGCATCACTAACATGGAACCCAAGATCTGTGCCTCTTTTTCTAGTTGCGTACAATAAAATGGCCTCGCACACTCCTGCTTATGCAAAAATTATCGCACTCGTAAAATTATCATCATCATACAATTTTCTTTTCAGTCGCTTGCTGTCACTGGTCTCTTGCTTGCTGTCGGTCATTGATAGTGTGCTGTACTCCATTGTTTTCTGTCACATGTGTTTCTTCTGCAATGTGCAAGTGGACATTGATCTCACAAATTTAGTGCAGCTACTAAGCTTTTGCAGTCACCCACCACGTCACTAACATGGTAACCCAAGATATGTGTCTCATTTCCTAGTTGTGTACAATAAAATGGCCTCACACACTTCTACTTGTGCAATAAATATAATGCTTACAAAAATCATCGTCATCATACACCTTTCTTTTTCGTTACTTGCTTTCACTGGCCCCCCGCTTGCTGTCACTCGCCGATAGTGTCTTACCCCATTGATCTTTTGTTACGTCTTCCTCCTGCAATGTGCAATTGACATTGATCTCACAAGTTTATGCTTATTTCTTGAGCATTATTCTCATTATAAAGCACCTGTAAGATCATGTTTGACTTTGAACGGTCAATCCCTAAGCAAGCTTGATTTTATCTTTTCATGACAAATGGGGTATCTTTGATGCATTGGAAGTCTGGATTTTAGGACTTGTTCCTAAAATATTTAAATACTTTGTTTTTTCTTGTAGTTGGGTAGTAATGGATTTATGCTTCCTTTGTTACCTATTTTATTGCTTTGTTTCTTGTGATGTGCTATAATTCCTTTTTGATGGCTAGAGATATTTATGCAGATGATTACCTTCTCTATTAAAAGTTTTATCACATCTAAAACTTGATCGGATTTTAAAAATGAATGAACAATCCTTGTCTTAATGCTTTGATGTGAATGACTATTAAGCATTTGGCTTGTTGTGAAGATAGATGATGACTACGAATGCCTTGTTGATTTATATTATGATATGACCTTGTGAGTTTGAATATATTCTAAGAGTCGCATTTGAGCAGATAATCAAAGCAAAAATATTTTATAAATGTTCTTTGATACGCATGTCAGCTTTAAGATTTGTTTGCTGCTTCTAAATTTACTGAGATGTATCAACTTTATTTTTGCAAATGCGCTCAGGTGGATTAGTAACATGTCTAGCCCATACAAAATGTAAATTCAATAGTTGGCCTTTTGGTCTGATTTTATCAAGTTGCAAGGCAACATACTGATATCTTTTGCATTATGTAGAAGAGTTATCTTTTATATTATGTAGAAAATTATTCATCTAGATTCTTACGTTCATGGTAAGTACTACAAAGTTAATACTTTGAGTTTAGTTTAGGCTTCTCTTTCTGATGATTATTGATTGTAAATCCTATTCATTAACATAGGATTAGGACATGGTGTATTATTGCACTCTAGGCTAATGAGGTCCTTTTGGATAATGCAATTATCGGTTGTTGATTAGTCCACCTGCTTTGATTAGATGACCATGATTTCATAGCTTAGGAATATGGAACCATGGGATTTTGATAAGGGTTGTCATCCTATACCCCCAAGTCACTTTATTTTTTCTTACTTCCTAAATCAGTGAAGTCCCCCTCAATAATGCGTTTCATGATTGATGTCAACTATGTTCCGATCAAGTTGGGTTAACTAACTTTTATTTATAAGTTGATCTTGGATTTTTCGGTGGAATGATTGAATCATGGGATTTATTGGGGTTGCTCCACTGTTTCTCTATCGATTTTGCAAAATTATTTCTTTGGCTCCTCAATAACCTACAGTATCAAGTTGTTTTTTTGATATGAATTTATATCATGTTTTGTAACAAAAGTTCCTCTTTCCCCCTTCATGATCTAGTCTTCAGTAGATTTTGGTGAT